CCAAACAATTGTGGCCTGACACTTCACTATTGGCTGAAAATTGACATCCACACATTACTTCATATCAGCTCAGCTGTGTCTTGTACTCATTATATTGGCTCAGGAGATGCTTTTTTGCAGCCATGAATACATACGTAACTTGTGTGCCATTCAAGCTGTCTTGCTGGAGATCTGCCATCAGGCAGGGAAGTCATGTGTGACCGATGGCTGGGACAAATGAGTCTGAGAAAGGAATAAGAAGTCTATGGAGCAACCCAGGAATGAAGAGGATCTGCTGGAAACCCTACCTTTTCAAGAATTTGGTGCTATCTATCATAGAAAGCTCAGCTCCAGTGAAAACAATTGGTCTACTAAGTAAATAAAAATATTCTTTTGTATTTTTCCTGTGTTCTGAAAGCAAAATCCATTCAAGACAATATCAGATTCATCAGAAAACCTGTTGCCTCTGTTCTCTGTTTCCTTCTGACTGGACAAACTTCCACCCAAATGAAGTCTCATTTTCAAGATGTGAATAGCCAGGCTACAGCCAGCGTGTGTCATGGGAACATGACCAGGAAGAGGCACTTAGAAGAACCTAGGGCTGCACAGTATCTTAATAACTAACTTGATTAGAACAAATAATACTAACAACCCAGAACAAAATGCAAAGTTTTATAAGCTTTTGGGTGAAAGCAAACATTGCCTTTTCCCATGAACTCCTTTGCTCCCTGACTGAGTTTTGCTCATATCCGAAATGTTCACATCACTTCCTCTTTTCAAGACCTGGATAGTCATGTTGACCAAATATTGGGTTTATAGTTATGATTAATTTTTTGTTCTTCTTGCCCAGGACAAATAAAGAGCAACAACAGAGGGGAAGTCTGGGTAAAGTCATGTAGGCCCTGGGAATCAGGGAGAGATGTTTGTCTAGAGGACACTGACTTGGACATGCACATTGGGATTACCTTTGGAAATACTACAGTCAGGGCTTTTGTGGGAGGGCAGATGAGTAGTTATAAAAGTGTTTTCTGGCTTTCAGATCCAAGACTCTCTGCATCCTCATACGTTTTCCTTGATATGGGGAAGGACTTTCATGTCCTTTCCAACCCTAACCATTATTATGGGCTCAAACTTAAACAGGGGAAGTTTAGGTTGGATATAAGGAGGAAGTTCTTTACTGCAAGGGTGGTGAGGCACTGGAATGGGTTGCCCAAAGAAGTGGTGAATGTTCCATCCCTGTCACTGTTCAAGGCCAGGTTGAACAGAGCCTTGGGTGACATGATTTAGTGTGAGGTGTTCCTGCTCATGGCAGAGGGTTGGAACTGGATGATCTTAAAGTCCTTTCCAATCCAAGCCATTCTATGATTCTATGAGTCTACATATTTTTAGAATTAAACCTAAACTGCTGTTTCCTAGGTGGAGTAACTGCCTTCAGCCATCATGAGCTATGACCTGACATCCTTACAGCTTTAATTCAAAGTCAACTAGGTTATTCAGCTCTTCACTGATTGTTGCTGGTCCTGGGCTGGTGTATTTGTACACAGAAAAAGCTGCCTTGAAGATTTTTTTGAGGCTTGGGTTTTGCTGCCACTTTACATATTGAACATGACTGAGGTTTCAGTAATTGTTCCAATGGTGAAAAGCAGAAGAAATTTAGCTCACCCGAACAATCGCTCTTGTCTGATGATCTGGGTTTGATTATGGCTCTTTGTAGATGTCTGAAAATCGGTTCATATCCTTCGCTTCAGAGGCAAAGCCTATAAAATGCATTTAGTGTCCCACTGAGTATTGCTCACATTTAATTCTGTGTTTATTTTTGGTCACAAACTCAGTGGGAAACTGCGTAAACAAAGCTGCTATAAGCATATACACGCGCACACAAGGAGGTTGCCAAGCAAACGGTGCCAATCTGGGTAAGTCTAATGTAAACACCGAGTCTAGACAAAGTGAGCTAGAGACAGAAGCCAGCTCTGATGTCAAAGGAGATCAAATGTTGATAAAATTGCTAGAATCAAGGAGCCAAAGGGGGTTTGTGTTAAACTTGGATAGTGGTTAACAGTGATGTTTTTACTCAGCTTGAGTTAATGGAGTTTTTTTGCCTAATATATTACTTCAGACTTCCTAACTCTGTGTCCAGCATCTGAGTTAACAGGTCTGAAAAGCCTTTGCTTTCATTAGTCCTTAGATGCCTTTCTGGACTGCAGGATACAATGCCTAAGTTCCAGCTCTGGGTGAAGTCTGAGCATGCTATACCCTAACACGTCCCTTTTGGTGCCTCCACAGTGCTGCCTGGTGTGGTCAGGTGTATGGGCCCAGTGACAGACCAACTCACCCGGTGCCCAAATCCCCTTTCCATGTCTGTTGCCTCCTCTGAACATACTGGGTCCATGCACTGCAGCAGCTCTGCACAGATAGGTGCCATCACCTCCTGTTCTGCAAATACTCTTCATGTGGAGTTGGCCATGGCAACCCAAATGAGGTGTTAGCTGCTAAGAAAGGCTTCAAGGTAGGGAATAGTTGAACCCTAGCAGTTGAGCAGCATTTACCACCTGGAAATATGCTCCCAGCAGAACTGCAGTGGTGAAATAAAGCACAAACTTTGTCTGGTCTGTGCCACACTTAGTTTTGCCATTAAAGCAGTGATACAGCTTGAGCCTTAATTAACATATCATATCATGCAAAGCAGCTGCTGCCCCTGCCCAGAGCATCCAAGAATACTTAACCATCCCCTGTTTGTTCTTATATTTTGCATGCCTTATCTGAGATCTGTATCCATATCCTACTTGCCAGTTGTGTTGATCAATCTGGTTGCAAGAGTGCTTGGTGAGATCCTAATGTGTCTTGCCAACATCTGTGCACACTCTGTTCTAGAAGGGAAACTCTCAGCCTGATTTCTGGAATACAGCAACAAAGTTCCCCCAAACCAAAGTAACTTTTAGAGAAGAAAACAAACTACCAAAAGAGTTATTCGTGGGAAATGATTTCGAGTGCAGAACAATATGTCATTTACTAAACAGGTTGGGGTCAGTGGCATAATAAACAGCATGAAAGAGAAAATCTGCTGTGTGGTTTCTGTGGTAGGAGAGAGCTCCCACAATCTCTGTCATCGGCTTCCTCTGTTCCCAAAGCATTGTCCTGCTCCAGTCAACTTCCAGGACTAGTTGCAAGCCTCTCCCAAAACATGATCTTATTTGCTTCCAATTAGGCAGATGTTTAACCTATTGGATGCTTCCCCTTTGACTTCTTGATCAATCATGTTTTAATGAACTACCTATAGCAGGGAGTTGGAACTAGATGATCATTAAGGTTCCTTCTAACCCAAACCGTTCTGTGATGCTATGAAGCATGGCATGGATGATCCTGGAGACCTACCCTGAGGAACCAACAGGGATGTCACAGTCCTTACATTATCAGTACAAGGGTCACCACCAGCTCTGGCCCCTCTGATGCCAGTGTTCCTCCAGGGTATGAGGTGTGTGAATGTGAGCTGTGCCTGCAGTGGCTGTGTCTGTCCCCCCCCTGCTTTCCCCAGCCCTCAGTAGGGAAAGCTCTAGGGAAGATGCTCTTTCATATTTCCTCCAGCTGCCCCAGAAGGCACAGAAAAGCTCTGAAATGAGGGAAGTCATATAATCTATGTTTGGATTTTGCTTAAAAGCATATTAACCCCCCTCCCTTTTTTCTTTCGGTGGGATTTCCTTTGTTTTACAGAGCAGCTGCAGGCTGCAGGGTCCCAGAATTGTAATTTTGGCCTGCAAAAGCACCATATACTGTCACAGTGTGTATTACATATCCAATAAAGCCTGACTATTGCGTCCTCTGGGCACACTTTAAAATAATTGCTTGTAAAAGCACATACTCATCTCAGCTGCACTCACTGGAGGGCCCAGTGACAGAAAAGGCTCCCCAGAGCACAAATTCTCCTTATCCTCCTTCCTTGCACTCACCCTTCTTCACTCCCAGTCCTCCAAATAAGCTTCTCAAGGGATTTCTTCTACTCCTTCAGCTTCACTCAGGAGTATGAAGGTGGCCCAACACATAGCAGAGGAAGTGCCTCAAAGGCAAGCTGGTGGCAGAGGAGAGGGAGTGGGATTGTCCTCTCTGTCCTGTAGATGATGGAAGGATGTCTTTTCCAGCTCTTTCTCCACAAATAACCCCTTCTCCATACACAGAGGAGAAGTAGGGCCAGACCATAATGGTATCTGTTAACCTGTGTATAAAGATACTCTGCCACTCTGATGGCTGCCATCACTCTCTGCCTTTGTGCATTGGGTACCGTTCAAACATTAAAACTCCTGCATAACACCAAAACCCCACAAGTTCTCCAATTAACATTGCCTACAAATCCCAGACACTTTTCCTTTCCTCCTTTACTTCTTACATCCTCTGTGCAAGCAAGGAGCCCATAGCCCTTTCTTGGCTGCTTCACCCTGTCTCAGAGTGACTGTTAGAAATCAGTGATGAGTGAACATCCAGTGCTTTGCAGTTTGGGGTCACTTCACTTTAAATAAGCATCCAAACGTTCACAGTTGAGCTAGCCAAAGCTCATTTGTCTTGACATTTTCTCACACGATTGCAGGCATAATTTCTTCTGGCCACAGCTGGGAGTATCAAGAGAGCAGTCCTCTTTGCTGTGTTCCGGCATGTTTGGCTCTAGTGCTAGCCAGAACTAGAAGTTAGAATAAGAAGGTCTCTATCTCTCTGTTTGCCTATCTATCTATCTATCTATCTGTCCGTCCGTCCATCCATCCATCCATCCATCTGTCCACCTACCTACCTACCTATCTAATCTACTTACCTACCTATATATCTAATGTACTTTATATAATGCATGTGTGTAAAAACTTTAAGCCCTCAGAACCCTAATGAACCAATTCAGAATTGGTTTCAGTTGGACATAGGTTTTGGAAATGGTCCTTAATTTCTAACCGGATGTGCACATGCCCATTACAAACCAGTGTGTCAGTCCCTTTTGAAGAAAAGAACTTGTGAGATCTGAGTGGGTGATTTTGTGTGTGTTTTTAAGGATATCCATTTACGGAAAGTAACAGGCAGAACTTTATCTGCTGGCAGCTCGTTGCGAGAATTCCAGGTAGGGGCTTGCAATATTTACACAAGGTGTTTCATTGTGAACTTTCTGAATGTGAAAGTATTAAAACTCCAGAAATACACCTAGCGAGCTGCAAAAAGCTAATTCTCTTCCTTTCATTTTTGTACTTGCAAGCAATCTTTGCCAGTCCTCTTTCTATTCCAGAGCACAATAACACCCATAAAAGACCAGAGAGTGTCTGCTCTGTGCAACAGTTCTGCTTGTTTATAACAGGAGGGGGGTAAAAGAAAGGTTGAATTTGTTACAGCTGGTGGGGGAAATCTGGTTTTGTCCATTTTACCTGATTGTTGCTGAAGCCATATGTACAATATAAGTGTAAAGACGCATGCCTATAAAGAATTTCTGCTGTAGAGCTTTCTGCAGGGTTTTCCTGAAGTCTGACCTTCAGCAATCATGGTTTTGCCTTGTTTTACAGAGATCTAATTGTTCCTAATTTCCTGTCGATAAATGGTACAAGGTGTGGAGTTGCGCTTCTAATGTTCAATTTCAATCATTTGTCTGACTTAATAGACATGAATAGCTCTTTCAAATCTAAGTGCTTTCAGTTCGTGTAGGACATATTTATATAGAAAATTTATTTTGAGTGGGTAAAGCCATTATTCAGCATGTAGGAAAATATTTCCTACCTATGGTGGTCAAACTGTAGGGGAGCTGTGGGCACGGGGCTTGGATTTTCTGATCTCAAGAAATAGACTCAATAGGGTGATTTTATTTCTTCTTCCAGTGAAAATCACAATGGGTTTCCGCTTGCCACAAGTAGGTCACATTCAGCTTGCAGATGTGGTACCGTTGGTATAATCCTGGTGCCTTAAGGATGATGCTTTCTCTTGGAAACGTTGGTCCTTTAGCATCTTTCTCCTTTTATGCATGATTTCTAGTAAAGACAAATGTTTTTAATGGCTGGATTTTAGTGTAAATCATAAATGTGTCCTGCACTAATCTACTTTTTGCAATCAGTTGCTCTTGCTGTCACTAATAAGGGTTTCCTTAGGCTGGGGTAGGCTGTAAAGAAATCGGTGCATGCAGTTTAGGGATTAATTCTTCAGTGATTAGTTCTTCTACATTCTTCTCCCCCTTGCCCACAGAGGCAGGTGGGGAAGCTCCCTACATCACTGCCATGCCTGTGGCACGTAGTACCTGCAATGTGGGGTCACCCTGAGTCACAGTGGCAGTAGCCAAGAACACATCTAGCTCCAGGAAAGGAGTGCTGGAACCTCCATCAGAGCCCCCATCTGAATGTCTTCATCTAAAATATATGGCAATATTTCGGCTGGACCTTGGTCTTGCTAGGTGTGATGCAGAGAGTAGTGTTTCTACCAGTTAATACTTCAAAGGGACAAGAAAATTGCTTTTGGCCCATGACGATGCAATTAAGGATTTGCAAAACTGTTTTAACAGGATGCAGGAGAGCATATAAGAGAACTATTAATGGTAGCTGATAAGCCACTTCAGGTAAAGCTATTTGTGTATAGACGGTAATCGCTTGACTACTGTAGACATGAGTAATGTTACAGTAAATTGCAATTTACTGAAATCTTTTAGTCAGCAGTCATTAATCCTGTAAGACTTTCATAGATGAACTCGTGCCTGTGCTGCTAAACACTGTTTAGGAGCAGGTTTAAAAAAACATAATGACTCACCACATAGTTTTCCCAGCCAGTATGGATCCTGAATCAGAGTAATTATTCAAATTACAACGTCCTTGTGTTTGATATATTTCATTCAGTTTACACACTATTTTGAAACCTCCTGACAGGATACTAAATGTTGTGTGAGCCTTTTCTACCTTTCTGAAGCACTCAATTGCACCAGAAAGTTCATTCATTTCTCAATATAAGATGTTATTCCTCTATTTGTTGTGCATACCCCTTTCTGAGCACTGAATCAATGAAAACTGACTGTATTTTCCTTCTAAAAGATGTGTATCAGAACCTTTCCTTAATATAGAGTCTGTTTTACTAGAATTCAACTCATAGTTAATCCCCTCCTGCACAGATAACATTTTATACTCAAATTTTGCTCTTTGAGCTTTTCAGCCTTTCAGTTCCAGCACTGGGTCCGTATCAGGTTTCCTCTTTTAAATAGCTCCCCTGTCTGTTTTGTATAACTTCCAATGGTCTGCAGGATATCTTTGTTTCCAGATCTGTTGGTCTGCTCTGCTGGGGCTACATATGTCTCTGTTGTGTTTAACTATCCCCTGCAACCTGTTAATAAAGCATAATGGGTTTGCAGAGATAAAAACCTTACCAACAAAATAATACTCCTTTCATTACAAAACGGACCCTGAAAAAAAAGAAAAGAAAAGAGGTAGAGGCATGAAATGAAAAATATTTCAAGAGAAGAAATATCTAGGTCACAGCTTTTCTCAATTTTTGTAATTTAAGGCAGCCTGGAATAATTGCTGCATGCATTCTTTTGAAATCAAGTCCTGTAATGTCCTTATTGCTCAATCTCTGTTTGCAAATGCTCCTGGTAATGTACATTGCTGTTTTCCAAATAACTGCATTGTAAAAATGCTAAAGAAGTAAGTTGGATCAGAGTTTATCCAGATATTGAAAAGAAACGTAGCCGTCCCCATCACCCTATTAGCTGTTGGGTTCTTCGTGGGAAATTAACTCCACTTCTGAAGGTCTCACTGCCAAAAATCCCCAAAGCCTGGAGAAAAAGATACTCTAGTGAAGGAGATGAGGGAAGTGAAAGACTTACAGCTCAAACCTCAGGTAATCTTAGGGAAATCTAAGGAAATCAAGTAGTGCATCAAAGATGCATAGGCTTTGTGCACCGTGTATGCAGCTCCCTGTGGAGAAAACAGCGGGATCATGCATGATTTCTTCTTCAGGATTGTCCCCTTTTCCTCTTCCGTGTGCTGCAGTGACATTTTAAGAGCATTCTAAAGCAATTTAAAGGCATCTAATAGAGGTAAAAAGGTTAAAGGCTTTGTGTGCAGTCCCTAGGAATTAACTGGCAGTCCCAGATTTACATTACAAAAAAGACTGGAAAACCAGTTTAGTGAGATTTTCCTTGCTGGTCATTTTAGGAGTGCAAGGGGGAGGCTCTGGACAAGGAATAGCAGAAAAGGAATTGCACCCTCACTTGTCAGCAAATGAAACGTGGGCACATAACGCCTTTGGTTTGACACCAAAGTGTTTTTCTTTCCCTTTAGCGTCACGTTTTTCTGCACACCACTTCATATGCCACCAGGTCAGGGGAAAGATACGGAAGATAAGTACTGAAGAAAAGTATCTACTTATCTGCTAAAAGAGAAAATACTGGCAGGTTTTCAGATTACTCATAAGTGTTTGAAAAGCTCATCTATTAAACTGAAGTATTATTTTCCACTCAGTGGCAAAAAAAAAAAATGAAGCACTTGAAAGATCTCCACATATTTCATGAATCCTTCAGGAAAAATAGCAGGCTGTAAGTATGAAGTGTAGCTCACAAGTTTGAGTTATGCGTTCTTGGTATGTCTTTGCACACATGCCCTTTGAAATTAATAGATTTAACCTCTCTTCAGGTTTGTTGTGTCTGAAGAGAATCAGTTTTTAAATAGGAAAAGGAGGAAAGCTTAAATTGCTTCAGTGAATACTTATCGTCCGTCTCAAACACTGCACTCTATCACCATCTCTTCACATACAATCAAGAAACATGCTATGTTTTAAGTGGAATTTGTTACTTTAGATCTGGACCATTTCTGTTGCTGAGCAAAGAGGAGTTCGATTCGTCTGAAGACAAGTCAGGAACACCCATCCCCCTGTTACTTATTGCTAGATTTCTTGTCCTACCATTGGAGACCAAACAATTTTTGCTATGGATGATTTCCATCTGCCCAGCTAAATTGCAATGACATTCTAAACTGCAGAAAGTCTTAGGCTCCCCCTCACTCCCAATTTCTGTCTTTGATTTAGTGCAGAGATCTGACTGGCCCTGCAAAAGAAAGCTTAAATTAGAAAACCTTTAACTGGGGTGTTTCCTATCAATACAAATAGGTGTCTCTCTTACTTACTACTCTTGCAGGAATAAAGGTTAATCAGTTGAGTTCAATAATTACTGATATTCTCCAACACCCAAGCTGGTTTAAGTGGTGTTTTTGCTAGGCTTTTAATGGTGCTGATTTTAAAATACTTTAACCCTGTTGAAATTTAATTATAGAGCCTGTTTTGGGTTTCTTTTGAGAAGTCATCCCTGTGTTCATATTAACAAAATTGCCTGGATTCCCCTTAAGAATATTTCTAAGGTGTTAAGTCTCCATTTTTATTCCTTATGATGATGATAGTAAGTGGATTGCACTGCTGGCTTTTTTGATTAGTTTAGTGGGATTTTTCCTTATTCATATGATTAGTCATAATCACCACAAATAGCCGTATTTCCAACTGAATAGGTAGAGACACCCTGGCTAATGCAGGAGTGCTTATAGAGCAGAAGCTGAGCTCTCCTTGTGTGTCTGATAGCAGTGTTGGATAACCAGCATTCACGGTGGTTTGAAGCTCCCATCACTTTGTATTTAGCACAGCTACACACTGTTGCCCATGTCTGCTTGCTTTAGCTGTGGTGGTGTCACAGAGGATGCACAATATACACTGCTCTTGCCTTCAGAAGTCTCTTCATCAGGTAGAAATAACACCAATCAGATTACTTAGTTATTGAATTTTACCTATCTTTTTCTTATCTGGAATAATCCAAGAGCATTATGAGGCCTCTTAATTCTTCACAAATAATTGATCATCTGTCATTTTTTCTTGCCAATATTCAAATACCATTTCTTTCTATTTATTAGCCATTAGCTTTACAGGAGAGCATTATACAACTTCATTCCATGATCAAAGGACTCACCATTCCGTGCCAGGTTTCCAACAGGAATAGTTGCATTCTAAATTTTCTTTCCATTAATTTGTTGCTTCTGTAATTGTTCTTGTCAGTAAGTGTGTTCATTACTGGAAAGAGAAGCTTAAAAAGAACGTAAGACCAGTTACAGCGCATTCAAT